TTTTTGTGTACAGATAATCATGGGATGGCTAAGGGATGGCTTAGGGACTTGGATAGATAGGAATCATTGGCAGTATTTTTAAATGGCTCCATGGCTCTGTTTTTAGAGCATATTATAGATGTGTAATCTCAAAAACTAGACTAAAAATTGTTTTGCTTTCAGATACACAGTTTATAGAATCATAAACAGCACTTCAAAATGCACTCAGCTAGTTTAGAAATGCTTTCATCTTTCTCCAGTGCTGACATTGATATATTTATATGGTCAGTATTATGCTACCAGCAAAGCCTTATCTAAAGTAGGCAGATAGTTGTAACATTTTGTCTTGGACTGGCTACTTAAAGTTTTCTTAACATTTATGTTTCTCAGTGCAAATTATAAACTATTTTTGCATGTATACAAGAGCAGCTCTTTTTCCTCTGAGTATTTTTGGTGTCAGTTTACTATGCCTTTTCTTATTGTCTAGGCTTAAACTTTTTAAAAAGTTGGAAGTGTCATACTTAAATCTGTAGAATAGTCATGCGTAGAAAATACAACCTGCAATAAACATTTCCTCGAAAAGTCAAGAAATCGTTTCTTATTCTTTTCTCTAGCACATAATTCTAGCTCATTTTCATTCTCCTCCTTCCCCCAGTCCAGTGTCACCATGAGAGACTCCCTTTTCCCATCTGCCTGTAACTCAGAGTTTCTAATGCAGTGTTTCCAGACTTTGGACCCCAGCCCATTTATGGATCATGAATCTATTTTACAGCATTTTTTTTAAAAAAGGAAATAGATTAAAATACAAAATATCAGAATATGCCACTAAATAAGAGAAAGTCTTAGGTTATAAATTTATTTCAGTTATATAGCTTAAACAAATTTTCATATGACTACAATATAAAATGTGTTATTGTGGCTGGGCATGGTAGCATATGCCTGTAATCTCAACACTCAGGAGGCTGAGGCAGGAGGATCACCGCAAGTTCAAGGCTACCAGTAACATTATACGATTAAAGAACTAGGAAGAGACCCTTGAAATAATCCTTTCATAATTGATCATGACACTTTCACAACGCTGTTACATGACTACATAGTGAAACCCTGTTTCAAAACAAAAACTAAAAAAAAGAAAATACATGTTACTGTGAATTGCCAGTTTTAAAAAATTGGAAAGCTACTGTTCTAAAGTTACTCATCTGTTTGTGTCTTGAACCCAGTGTTCTTTAAGTATACATGTTAGATTGTTGATGCATAAATATTTAGATAAGAATTTTAAAACTAGAATTTTATTTATGCCTGATATCTTGGTTCTAATCTACATGGCAAAAAAGCCCCCCCCCAAAAAAAAAACCTTCATCAGAGGAAAACCCATAAGTGTTGACAAGTTTTATAACATTACTTTTTAAAGTTTTACTTTTTAAAAGGTTGTTGCAACATTTTCACCTCAACAGTGCTGAAAGACCATCTTCCCCTAACAGGATTCACACTGATTCAAACTGTTGGTTTCACTGGATTATATTGATTGGTATTAAAAATAGTGTTGGCCAGCTGTAAAGAGAAGGCACACTGGTCCTGAATGTTTCAGATACCACTTGGAAGGAGAAGTATTTATGCCTAAAGTGAGTTGTTTAAGGTTAAGAGGGGTGAATCTACCACTGACATGTCATTCCTTGGGAGGTTCTGTAGTGAACCATGGGAAGGACGGATGCATGACTTATTTCCAGCTATTGAATAGTGGAATTGGCATTTAAAAAGAAACTTACTAGCTATCAGTCTGGGTTGTTTTAAGATGAAGAGCGATAGAGTTCAACGGATCTAGTTTTAAATCCCATCACTTGCTAGCTGTTTTAACCTGAGACAGGTTACTCCTCACTGGCTTTATTACCTCATCTATAGTATGAGGTAATACCTCTACACAGAATTACAAGTGGCAAATACACTAATCCCGGTATACCCCTTAACCCCGGGGCTAGCACAGAACAGTTCAGTAATTGGTAGTTCTTAAATACTGTGATGACTTACCATTAAAGTAACACTTGATTATTATTGGAAATCTACAGTTTTGAATACTAACCTAAATCAAGCCACATTGCAGGACTAAATCAGAAGATACCAATAACATTATAGGATAAAAGAACTAGGAAGAGACCCTTGAAATAATCCTTTCATAATTGATCGTGACACTTTTACAATGCTTTTACATGACTTTTTCATGGCTTTTATAAAGTCTCCTTTGTATTACTCACTAGACTGCAAGCCTCAGGAAGAGTTGTGTCTTAACTTGCCATTGTATCCCCAGTACAGGACCTTGGCAGGTAGGAGATATTCAAACATTTATTGAATGAATGATCTGTGGCTCTATGCAGTTTTATTCAGAGCCAGTGTAACTGTACTGAACTATTTTAAAGTGCTTTCTGGTACAGAAAATGCCTAAAGATAACTACAATATAAACTTCGCCCTGTTGCAGAGCTGATGATAGATGATTGGCAGATAAGAACAGAATAGAAACTAACAATTTTTCTTTTTTTTCTTGCAGGATATTAATTTTGTTGAAATTAAACTATGTTTACATAATTGTAGACTCATATACAATTGTGACAAATTAACACTAAAAGAACCTGTGCACACGTTGTCCCCCATTAGCAATATCTTGTGGAACTGTGGTATAATATCACCATTAGAGCAATAATATTGATGGGCTCAATGTTGGTAGTGACCTTACTCAGATTCTCCCTTTGTTTCTATTTATATGTGTGTGTTTAGTTCTATGTAATTTTATTTTATGTATATTCACGTATTCACCACCACAGTTACAAAATGTATATTCACGTATTCACCACCACAGATGCAAAATAGTCTCATTACCATAGGATCTCTCCTGTTACCTTTTTATAAGCCCTCAGTCCTGAGCATATCTTCAAGCTCATCCTTCTTTAACCCCCGGCAATCACTAATCTGTTCTTCAATGCTATAATGCTGTCATTTGAAGAATATTATTTAAATAGAATAGTGCTTTATATAATCTTTAGTGAGTAGCTTTTTCACCTAACATAATTCACTTTCCATTTATTCAAGCTATTGCTTTATCTGTAATTCATTCATAGGTAATACTCCGCAGTTGAATGTATCACAGTTTAATCACTCACCCACTGAAAGTGTAAACTGTTTCCAGTCTTTAACTGCTATAAATAAAGCTACTATAAAGATCTATATGCAGATTTTTTGTGTGAATGAAGTTTTCCTGTCTCAGGGTTCAATGACCAAGAGTATAGTTGCTAGACCATACAGTAGTTACATATTTAGTTTGTTGCCTTTTTTGTAATGCCAAGTCATTTACCATAGTACCTGTACCAATTACATTCTCCCTAGCGATGTCTGAAGGACCAGTTTTTCTACATTCTTCTAGGCTTTTTATTTTAACCATCCTGCTACTTGTGCAAGGAGAGCTCATTGTAGTTTTAATTTGGGTTTAATAGATATGACTAATAATATTAAACATCTTTGTGTGCCCATTTGTAAAGTTTATATCCTGTGGTGAAGTGTCTGTGTTTTGACCATTTGTAATTGAATTGTTTGGGGTTTTTGTTTTTTATTCTTGATTTCTTAGAATCCATTGTATAACCTATGTGTTAGCTCTTTACTGGATATGTAGTTTGCAAATAATTTTCTCACAGTCTCTCTTTTTATTCTCTTAACTGTGTCATTTACAACAAACATTTTAAATTTTAGTACAGTAGAGTTTATCAGTTATCCTTTTATGGGTTATGGTTTTAGTGTTAAGCATTGTTTATGTTGCCCTAAATCCCAAAGGTCATCTGTTCTTCTAAAAGTTTTATAGTTTTACATTTAAATTTAGTATTTATTTTGAGTTCTTAAAATTTGTGATAAAATTTACCAGTTTGACTACTTTAAAGTACACAGTTCCAGTGACATTAAGTAGTGTACATTCTCAGTGTTGTACAGTGTTTGCCACTGTCTAGATCTGGAGCTTCACCCCCACAACAGAAACCCAGAACCCATTAAGCCATGACTTCTTGTTTTTTCCTGTCCACCATGACTAGTTGAAAAATGACAGTAGATAATCAACTTTCATTGCAATCTTATATTGCCATGATATCTAAGTGTATTGTTTTATATTTTATAAAAACATTGGCATACAATGGGTTGGAAAAATCCTTTGGGAAGCACTGAATGAGATTACTTAACTTCTAGCACATTGATCATAACTTGGGGTGGGGAAAATTAAATGACCATCCTGTTGCTCTAACTGTAACTAGCTAGGTGCTCAGCTATAGCAAAGCCCAAATTGTCTTCCTGGTATAAAATCAAAGATTATCCTCAGTATCAGTGGTAATCATGGTAAATGAATTATGGCTGTTCATGTGGCTTCTAAATTGTTATTTTTTTCCTCACCTCAAGTGCATCTGCTAGAGCTATAGAGTCTGGCAGCAACTTTAGCAAGTCTGACATTGTCTCTGGGAATTTGTTGAATTATCTCCAAAACTTGAAGTCACGTTTCTTTCAAATCACATTCACTATAGAATGGCGTTGTCATTAAATATGACCAAAGTTTTGAGTAAGAGGGTTAAAGAAGCCCCACTGACAGTGCCCATTAATTGTGAAAATTTGCCATCAGTATGTGTCATTTTACTTTTGGGTATTTTGATTGCTGTTCCCTTCAAAAATTCATCTGGTAGTGATTAAATGTTAAGTTTCCTTTAGCTCTTAAAATATCAATTTGGAATTCAGGATTGTAACTTAAGGGTTTTTTGTTGTTGTTGAATAAAAATTAATTTTTTTAGGAGCTTTTTTTTTTTGCCCCTGGGGTGCTGGGGATCAAATCCAGGGCCTGGTACATGCTCGGCAAGTGCTCTAGTACTGAGCTGCAGACCCTCCCAGAAACTTTTAAAGAAAATTTCAAGTGTTGCTTAGCAAAATTAACAAGTTCTGATTCACCCATGCAAAATTTGAAAGAATTTATCATGAATGTCCTCTTTTCTTTGTGTTTATTATGTAGAGAACAAGGGGAATACACAAACTTGAAACATGAGTTCGGATACCAGCCAAGAAGTGGTTACTACCCCTCCTCCTCCCAGCATGCCTCACAAAGAGAGATACTTTGACCGGATTAATGAAAATGATCCGGAATACATTCGGGAGAGAAATATGTCTCCTGATCTACGACAAGACTTCAATATGATGGAGCAGAGGAAACGAGTTACTCAGATTCTGCAGAGTCCTGTGAGTTGAAATAATTATAGCTCTGTAAATTTTTCTTCCTCTTTGGAAACCTTGACATAAAGAGGTAGGAGGTATCTTAAACTACTTTCAGTTTAAAAGAGATGTAGAGGAGTAACCAGTTGCTTAAGATAAATGGACACCTAATTTATATATTCAATTTGCAAAGCTTTATTAACAGACTCTTACTGTGATAGAGTACATTTTCTTTGTATAATGTTTACTAAAGGAGAAAAGACAATTTTACTGCACTCAAGGATACGCAATTCAGACTACATATCTGTGAAGAAAATAAAAGGCATGACTCCAATCATAGGGACTAAGAAATAAGTTGGGTATATCGCATGCACTTGTTTTCCTTTGGCTACCCTCATACTCAGAAAAGCACAGAAAGACAAAGTTTTTAAGAAGGTCTGTGATTTGGCAACCTAACGTTAATACACCTAACACAGGCATACATATGTGTACATACCCCAAATTAAATAGATTAAAAGTAGATTATAAATTCAACTCAGGTTGAAAATTCTATCTGCATAGCACTATGCAGACTTTTAAGTCATGTTCAAGTGAATTGTTCATTTTCTTACAAACACTTGGTGGAACTGTGCAGGTCAGCAAAGGTCACTTATAAGTAATAGAAAATGAGAGAACAGCTTCATATAAGAATCAAGATGAATTTGTAGCTGTATGCGTAATGCAGGTCATGGAGCCCCTTAAGGTAGAATTTAGCACACACAGATGCATGATTACCAGATTAGGGTTATATAAGGTTTCCGATTTAGGTACTTTTAAATTAAGCACAGAGGCATGAAACCCTGGTAAATCATTTTTGTTGTGCCCTTATGAGTTTAATCACATGAGTTTAGTCCAAAGCCAAAAGGGAATTCCACTCTGAGTAGTTCTCCCTTGCAAATGACCTTGATTGAAAGCATTAAAGTACAAGCAATGCAACCTTTAAGCAATTTTTAAAGTACAGGACCAAGTTTTTAAAAAACCCTTTCCAAATTAAATAGAGATTAACCAGAGAAGTCATAATGAGAGATAGATTATAGGTTATGCAAACCTGAGTTTCTGGGTTTACAAATATTTAAAGGGAAGCAGAGCATGGTGGCGCACGCCTGTAATCCCAGCACTCAGGAGGCTGAGGCAGGAGGATCATTGTGAGTTGGAGACCAGCCTGGGCTACAAAGTGAGCTTAAGGCCAGCCTGAACTGCATAGCGAGACCCTGTATTAAAAAGACAAAAAAAAAAAAAAAAAAAAAAAAAAAAAAACCACAAATGCTTAAAGGGCACATTAATTATATAGATAGAAATTGACTTATGTCTTGCTCTAAATAACCCCACTTTCAAGAACTAACTTATTAATCGAATTATTGTAACAGATAGTGTAATCAAAAGAGTGAGGTAAAGTTTCATACATGTTGTTAAAGTTTGTTAAATACCGAGATTTCTTGAAGAACTGCCTCAAAGAGGACCATTCAGTTCAAACTATAATGTTTAAATGCAAAAAGTATTACACTTTATTTCCATGCCAGAGTTTTGGTTTTATAGTTCCCCCATTAGACTAAAGACAGCATAATTTTTGTTTTGCTTTGTTTTTTGTGGTACTGGAGGTTGAACCCAGGGCCTCATACATGTTAGGACAAGCACTCTACCACTGAGCTACATCCCATGCCGTAAGGCGGTATCACTTTGAGTAGAATATTTACTTTTTTATCCTCCTGTATTTTCACTTGTAAATTGACTTGCAATATCAACTTTACTTATGCCTGGGAGAAGTTAAATAGTGGGAAGGGGCAGACACAGAGGTTGTCATTTCCTTTCCCAATTCACTTAACAAGAATGATCTCTTGCTCACAGAGAAGTGAAAAGGCTGGAATGTAAAACAGTTGTGGGTTATTTTCCCCTAGATATTTGCCTAGTAAATTTAAAATTTTGTTGTAAAAGACTTGGAAGTATAGAAGTCTTGTTTTTCTGCCATAGTTTAAGATAGTGTTTAAATTTCTCTTAAGGCAACAGAAACATTTCACCAAAGGAAATGGCCTATGTTAGTAATCTCTTGCTAAGTAAAAGATTACACCTAAAATTTAGCGGCTTAAAATGACACACGTTTTTAATCTCACCATTTCTATGAGTTGAACATTCAGGAGCAGCTTTGCTGAGCCCTTCTGGCTCAAGTTCTCTCATGAGGTTGCTTTGAAGACATCAGCCAAGACCACTGTCCACTGAAGGATTGATGGGGTAGGGATCTACTGTTAAGATGGATCCCTCACAGCTTTTGTCAAAAAGCCACAGTTCCTTGTAACATAGACCTTTCTTTAGAGCTGTTTGAATGCTCTCCCCCAGAGCAAGCATCCAAGAGAAAGCAGCCTACAGGGTTTTCATGACCTAATCTCAGGCATCACAAGCCATCACTTCCATCATATTTATTATTATAAGTGAGTCACTAAGTTCAGTACATACTCAAGGGAAGAGGCATTAAATTCACCTTTTGAGGGGAGAATTGTCTAATCTGTGTTCACAATTTATTTTAAAAACACCACAGTCTGCCCTTTAGCCACAATTTATTTTCCTTCTTCCCACATGCAAAATATGCACCCTCTCCTAACATCCCCTTCAGCTTGAATCCAGAATCTCATTTTCTAAATTTGCTCTAAGAACAAGTGATCCACCTCAGGGTATTCTTAAATACAGCTCATCTATAGTTTCTCTCAATCTATTGACTCTAAAGAGACAAGTTACCTGCCCCCCGCATACACCTAGTGGTGGAACAAGCATAGGATAAGTGCTTATAGACATTCCTTTTAAAATCTCTTGGAGTTTGTGTAGCAGACAGTCACTGACTTGAAACAATTGTGAAATTTATCTAGGCAAATGTTTGGAAGGCCTTAATGAGAATACCCAGTCCTGCTGCTTACCAGAAGTGTATCTCCATTCTCTGGGCTGTGCCCTCTGGGTTCTTGGTTGCACTGTCTGAATCATCCTTCCTTTTATCACATGAAAGGTAGTCTGTTTGCAGCTGTGATTTTCTCAGCCTCCTTCCTTATAGAGGTTTTGGGAGTGCAAAGACCTTGTTTCCTTTTTTATTAACTTCCAGCCTAAGTTGAAAATGTTTCCATTAGTATAATTCTCTTAAAAATTTTTGTGGATTTCCTATAAATACTGAAGCTCATTTCATTAGACAAATCTGGAACCAGTACAGATAAAATCAAAGATGTTACTAATTTATATTTACCAAATTTGTAAGCATATGTTTTTTTCTAAGCTCTTACATTATGCCAGGTACCTATTATGTATGTAGGGTAAAATATAATCCTCAAAGCAACTCAGTCAAAAAAGTATTAATATCCCTAGTTTACAGATTAATAAACTAGAATTTAGCAACATTAATTTGCTGAAAGTTTTACAGCTTAGTTAAATGGTGGGGCCAGAATGTTAACTCTAAAACTCATACCCTTAACTTGTTGCAACAATGAAAACAATCCACACATATGTAGTATCTTCCTTTACTCATCCTTAGTTCTTTTGCTTAAGTTAATTCAGCCCAATCCAAGAAGAATGTCTATTCAGAAGATATTTTGGTTCAAATGTAAATTTATAAATTTGGACAACAAAAATAACACCTATGCCTTGATATGAAAAAAGTAGAACAAAGAATTTGTCTTGCTGTAATCCCTAAGGAGTATTATATCTTTATAGGAATTGCACAGCTCCAGGTCATATTAAAAATTTTTTTTCATATATTAAAATTTTTAAAGAAAATACTCATTTTATGCCTGGTGTGGTAGTCCATTCCTGTAATCCCAACATTTTAGGAGTCTGAGGCAAGAGAATAGCAAATTTAAACCCAGCACAAGCAATTTAGCAAAACCCTGTGTCCACCAGGAAAAACATAAAAATAGAGAGGACCAGAGATATACACAGCTCAGTGGAAAGGTCCTGGGGTGCAGTCCTCAGTACCACAAAAGGAAGAAAAAGTATATGTATTTGTCTTAAAAATAAAATGCTGGATTGGGCTTCCTGGCACATAGCTATAATCCCAGCTACTCCAATACCTATAATCCTAGCTACTCCAGAGGCTACAGCAGAAGGATTGCAAGTTCAAGGCCAGCCTGGCAATTTGGTGAAACCCTGTCCTAAAATAAAAAAATAAAAAGAGCTATGGATGTAGCTCAGTCATAGAGTTCTTTCCTACCATGTACCAGCCCTGGGTTTGATTCCTGACATTGAAAAGAAAAATAAAATGCTGGTGGATAAACTAATTTAGCTTGGCATTTTGTTAACACCATAGAGATAATGCACAAGTTCTCTTTGACCAGTGTACTCCATGTATGTACTGTCTGTAGAGATCCTAGAGTATAATTTACCCCTTTCTCAAAATGAAGTGTCTGAGACAAACTGTTGGAATTTAGTGATGCTTCTTCACAGTTAAAGAAGCACCTTGAACACAGTAGATACTGTATATCCCTGAAAATAAGTGTGGATCTATTAAAATATTAATTTTTGCTTCAGAAGATACAGTAGGACTTATTTTCAGTGGGTGTCTTATTTTTTTCTGTACAACAATCTATATTCATGTACAAAAATCTACATTTATTCAGATACAGTCGTGTCATCTTCTGGAACATCTTCATAACTCCAAATCCCAAATTTTGGCCTGACTTGCTTTCTCTTTTTTTTTTTTTTTTTTTTTTTTTGAGATTGGGTCTTGCTATGCAGTTTAGGCTGGCCTTGAACTCATTTTGTAGCCTAAGTTGGCCTCTAAGTTGCAGTGATCCTCCTGCCCCAGTCTCCCAAGTGCTGGGATTATAGGCATGTGCCACCACACCCAGCTGAATTTGTTGGCTTCATTTCCTATAGAACCATTGGTCCCAGTCCTTCATGTGCAGCAATGGAGCTCACCTTAAAATGAACACTTCTTGTCCATGCAGGCTGCTCATAGTGCATTAGCAACACAGCTGTCAGTGACTTTACCCCATGGATTCTTCACCCAAGTCCTGACCTCTTGCAGGCCAGGCCCCACAAAGTTTCCATTAACTCAAGTGTTAATTGAAGACTTACAAGATAGGAGTGGCAACAAAAATGATGACAGTTAAGAACGATGGGCCACACAAAAGCAACAAAAAATTGCAGGCACCAAAATTTAGAAAACATCTCTTTATTTCACACCAGTGCATGAAGTACATCTGTTTAACATATTGAATTATGAAGATTCATATTAGACACAACTACATCCGCTCATTATTAAGTGTGCATGTTTTTTGTTGTGTCTTTACTACAGTTGGTCATTCGGCAGTAAATCTTGAGTTCATCTGTTTATATAGACATTTACTTCTTTTCCAAAGGCAGTAACTTCAGTATATACAAATACTTAAATTTATATAATCATTTAAGTATTAATGTCAACAGTAATATTTATATTTAATTATAGATTAATAGTATTTTATCAGTCAGCATGTCCATCATGAGTTGCAACAGACATACTAAGTGTGTCCATCTGGCTAACAGTCTTAACTGTGGTTTGTCCTAAAAGTTCATGCTAGGGCTTATTTTCTGGTTAGATGTTATTTTGGGGGAAATGTTGCTGTATTTCACCATACTTTTTTTAGATTTGCATTTAATAAGAGAGCTGTTTAAATTGTAATGCAGTGGGGACACGTAGGTTTTCAAGTAGGATTTTGAGCCGAATTAAATGACTTTAAAAATACATAACATTTAGGTCTGGGGATTTAGCTCAATGGCACAGTGCCTGCCTGACAAGCGTGAGGCCACAAGTTCAAAAAAAACTTCATCATAAAAATGTATAATATTTTTCATCATAAAAATGTACAACATAAAAATGTATAACATAGTGAAAATGAATTTCTTATTTTTAAAAGTTTGTTTTCTAATCTATGAAATGAAACCTTGTTATCATTAACTGAGTCAAGCTTTAGATCAGATTCTTCACTTTCTTTCTTTAGATTTAGGGCAATAAGAAAGAAACTCTTATCTTACTATTTTATTAATTGAGCTGAACTAGGCACTCAGAGAATCTGGAAATATGAAGACCACAATGCCAGTCACCAGATATTATGATATACTAGAGAAAAAAAATGGACACACAGTCACAGTCATGTGACAGACACCGTCAGCGTACTGTGGGGAAGTGTGAAAAGAGTGCCCACTGCCGTGCAGAAGAAAAGAAAGAGATTCCATGTGAGGGACTTTAAGGAGAAGGTGGCACTAAGGCAGGCGCTAAAGGTGGGCGCTCACCGGGAAGAGGAGCAGTGGAGGCCAGTGCTCCGTTAGATGAAGTTAGATGAAGGGGAGCGAGCGAGGCGGAAGAAGGACAGGTCATGGGCAGAGCATGCTGAGTGAACCAAGTACCTGCCGGGGAGTTGCACAACTAGATCAAAGCGGAGCTCTGTTCTTAGCTTTTTGAAGGGCCTCCCTCTGGCTGTCCTAACTTACATTCCCACCAGCCGTGTAGAAGGGTTCCTTCTCCCCAGCCCCCATGCCCCCGCATCCTCTCCAGTATTCATGGCTTTTTATATTCTTAATCATAGATATTCTGACTAGGGGAGGTGGAATCTCAAAGTAGTTCTGACTTGCATTTCCCTAATAGCTAAAAATGTTGCACATTTTTTCATATACATATTGGCCATTTGTACATCTTTTGAGCACTGTCTGTCCAATTCTTTTGTCCATTTATTAAGAATGGACTATTTGAAATTTGGGGTTTTTTTTTAGTTCTTTATATATTCTAGATATTAATCCTCTGTAGAAGAGTAGGTGGTGAATATTTTCTCCCAGTTTTGTAGGATGGTTTTTACCCTGTTGGTTGCTTCCCTTGCTGTGCAGAAACTTTTTAATTTGATACAGATCTTTTAACCCAACTATGCACTAGGGCAGAACCTAGAGAAGTTGGCTAATCTGCCTGTAGAAGCCCAGAATGTGACTTTACTGCCCTCCAGGATCTCGCTGTGCAGTTCAGGGTGGACACCAACTCTCAGCAGTCCTCCTGTCTCAGCCTCTTGACTGCTGGAATTATAAGCATACACCACCACATCCAGCTTTTTATATCATTTTATCTGTGGAAGGGGCTTAAATTCTCCCTGCAAGAACATAGGGCCAAGTACATTCAAGAAAATAGATAATACCTACTTCTCAGATCTATTATAATGAGTAATAGATGTAAGTAATGAGTAATACTCATGATAGATAGCCTTAATATTTTCTTTTTACTGAATCAGAGAAAACTGGTTGTAGCCACTCTAAAATGAGAAATTTTATTAAATATTTTGGTTTTGAAGGGAATATAAAGTTACAGAACAGCAGATTGGCCTATTGCCATGTGTCTAAAAGTTTTGTATAGTTCATATAAAGATAAATGAGGATAATGCTGGACATGGTGGTACATACGTATGCTCCCAGCACTCAGGAGGCTGAGGCAGGAAGATTGCCATAGTTTAAGGCTACTCTGGGCTACATAGTGAATTCAAGAACTACATGGTGAGACTGTCTCAAAAACAAAACAAAAAATGACATCTCAGAGATCCTTTGCCTTTCAGCCTTGACCATGGTGACTACTCATGTTTCTCATCTGTGTGAAGGCATCCATCTATCTTATATACTATTCAGAGCAACCCATTATTAATAGGCTGTTGGGTATTAGTTTGTTTTTTGTTTTTTGGTTTTTTTTGGGTTTTTTTTTTTTTTTTCCGTACCGGGAATCGAACTCTTGACCTTGCACTTGCCAGGCAGGCGCTGTGCCGCTGAGCTAAATCCCCAGCCCATTGGTATTACTGGAGTTTCCTGATAAAAGTATATATTACTTGTAGAGGATACTGTACAAGATAGTTTCTTTTGCTCCAGTCATATATTTAAGTGAACTAGATATAATCGATGGAGTTAGATGTTTTCAAATTTTTATGAGCGTACTAATGATCTACATTTAACATGCATTAAATTTATAGAAGTAAAACTACATTTAACTAGTGAAAACTATTTTATGAACTCACAATTCAAATATGGTCACAGTTAGTTGAGTTTTTAAAAAATTAATCACTCAAATATTTTTATTAGCAGAAATAAAGCATCTTCCTTTTGTTTCTGTGACCCCACACACACACCTCACAAAAATGTTGCAGAACTCCAGAGTAGAGATATGTGGAGCTCCAAGTTGGAAAAACTATAATTTCTCCAGTATAGTTTTCTTGAAAGGGAATAATTAGTTCTTAAATCTTACTACTGTGCATTCAGAGTTCCTGGAGCTAAGGAACTGCCATGGAAATCATAAAATGGAAGCTGTGGTTTAGTATGTGTTAGTAATAGCTTTTGCTGTGAATCTATACACAGTAGCACCCTGTTTATCTAAGTCAGGGACTGTCCTGCCTTAGATGCAATGTTATTAAGCAAGGAATGGCTCTTTCAGCATTGGTTCACACTGGTATTCAAGTTGCAGTTTAGTGACAGTTGCTTTAGTGTACTGTCTAATATAGATGTTATCCTGTCTCATTTTCTTTGAGATTAAGAAGGCCTAATAATTTTTTTCTCTTAGCTTAAAAACAGGCTTCTTGCTGTTGCTTCCAGTGTTTCAGTTTTATTTTGTGTCCTGTATTTGTTTGTATATAGTGTAGGTAAAAGCTGTTCAAAAGAGAATAGAGGATGATTATTTTAGAACAAGTTTGAGTCATTCTGTTTCAAGTGACATAATATGTGCTCAGTGGTTGTTTTTGTGTATTACAGGCCTTTCGGGAAGACCTGGAATGTCTTATTCAAGAACAGATGAAGAAAGGCCACAACCCAACTGGATTACTAGCATTACAACAGATTGCAGATTATATCATGACCAATTCTTTCTCGGGCTTTTCTTCACCTCCTCTGAGTATGTCAATTTTGGAGAGTTTTTTTAAATTACACTTTTCTGCTTTGGAATACTATACATCCCTATCTGCATATTCAGTTCAGGTTCAGTCATTAAGTTTCTAATATCTAACATCCAAGGTCGCATAGTATTAGCATCTCCTTTTCATATCAGTCAGGCATTTACTAGACTTCATAGGGATTACAGAATAGTTTAAGCCATGGTCCTGCCCCACATGGATATATTTTAATTAATACTGCAAGGTAGCTACAGAGAAAAGCATTACAAAGTTGTTATACAAAATTGTCTAAAGAGCCTTCCCAAGTCATCATGCTGTGAACTCGGAGTTTGAACTGATTACAGGCTGGAGTAGACTAAGAAAACTTGATGAGAAGAAGAGAGGGCTTGATGAATTAGGCTTTCAAAGATAGCATAGTTAGAACTGGGTGTAAAAGAGTTTTGACATTTTATTAATTCAGCAGCTCTTTAGTGAGAAAATCAGTTTGGTGAACTGAACGAGGCCATCAACACTCGTAAAGTCTGAGGTCCTTACTGTATGTTTCCATGTGAGATGCACACAGAACTCACTACACTCACTGAGAGAAGTGGTAGAGGTTGCGCCCTGTCACACTGAAAGGATAGAGGGTGTTTTTCTTCCCTTTTATCCTCTTCTTACACTTGCTGCCTCTTTTTTCTTTTTTCTCTCCCTTATTTTTATTAGAAACATGTAAGTAGGATTTTAGTGTATTTTCTTTTCTTTTTTTTTTTTTTTTTTTTTGAGATAGGGTCTCACTGTGTAGTGTAGGCTGGCCTTGAACTCGATTATGTAGCCCAGGCTAGACTCAAACTCATGATGCTCCTCCTGTCTCAGCCTCCCAAGTGCTAGGATTACTGGCATGTGCCTCCAAGCCCAGCTTCATGTATTTCCTAAATAGAGGGGAAAGTGTAAAAAGCATCGTGGTGATGGGAACATGCAAGTGAGGCTAGGTTTGTAGTACTCATGAGGGCCTTTGGTAGCTGCGTCGGAGAGTCCAGGTATAGAAGTCTAGAGAGAAGAGCTGGGTCTGATTGACAAGATCCTTTTCTGTCAGACCAAGGAGGACTAGAACATGAAAAAGCCTTGTGAAGTTTTGGTAGGTGCTAATATGCAAACCAGGAAAGGAAAAGACCAGTTGGGGATTTGACAGAATCCCAATGTGAGGTAAAAGTACTTGAGTTAGAGGAATGGTTGTGGGTATGAGGCGGTGGTGCTGAATCTATGGCACATATGTTGCATTGGGCTGTTTGTATCATTGAAAACTCTAAAAGCTTCACCATCACTGGTGTAAAGGGAAGAGAACAATGAGACGTCATAGCCAAGGAAAAGTAGAGAGGACTTGCTAAGAAATTTGATGTATTTGGGGAAGGAAAGAATGATAGGTTCCCTAATGACTGAGTTTTCTAACTTCAGAGAAACATTCTGCCAGCAAAAACAGAAACTCAAATACTGTGCTAGTTTGCTTCACTCTGTCTACTGTTGAGCATATCTGTGCCAAGCTCCCTTTCAGGAACAGGACGTACACTGGTGAACAGTACAGACAGGATTCCTTTCTCATGAAGACAGGAAATAGACTAAGATGATCAGATAAGAGGGAGTGCTCTGCGGAGAGTTACGTATGGTGGTAGGAGAGAGCACCTGGGTGGCTTCTTTGGTTGGGTAATCCTTTCTGAGGATATGGCATTTAAAGTGCAGTCTGAATAGTAGCAAGGAGTGAACCATACCAAAATGGAAAGTACCCCAGGCTGCGGAAAGTAGTACAGGTGCCAGTGACAAAAGGTAGGAACGACTGATCTTGTCAAGGGTCAGAAAGAAGATTAATGGTCTGGAGCATGGTTTTCAAGGGACAAGTAAAGTTAGATCGAAAACAAACCAAATCATATGAAAACATGATTTTGATATAAATCCTGTCACAGCCAAGTTTGAAAGTTTGAATTTACTCCTAACTTTGGTGGGAAGCCATTTTAAGCAGGAGGATAATTTTTATTTATTTATTTATTTATTTATTTATTTATTTATTTATTTTTTGTGGTTTTTCTCCGGTACCGGGAACCGAACTCATGACCTTGCGCTTGCCAGGCAGGCGCTTTTGCCGCTGAGCTAAATCCCCAGCCCCCAGGAGGATAATTTTTTAAAATAACTGTATTTTCTGTGTAAAGGATGGACTGGGAGACTTTGTAGTCTGAACAAAAATAAGAAAGTGCAGATTTAGGAATCCAGTTTGGCTTGGGAAGTGGATGAAGTCTGGCGTTCAGTGTACTCAGTTGGAGTGGCCAAGACATTGCAGCAGTCAGAATACAGTCAGATCTTAGGGAAGAGACTTGACAGGTAGATATGAAAAAGAGCACATGTTGCATTAGGCACTGACTAAATATTTATACCAGAGGTATAGATATAGAAGAAAAAAGTTCTAAAAGGAAGACTAGTCAGAGAAAACAGAATAATAAGAAAAGCTGTCCTGTGAATGTCCTAGATTCCATGTCCGGAACACAGAGCTGCAGGGGTTTTGGCTGGCCTGCTGGAATCTACAAAGGGTAGCAACAGGACAGCCTTGTCCTTGTGTTCAGATGTCAGGAAGTGGAAATTAATCAGTTTGCTTAGCATATTTGTGTGATGGTATGAAAAGTGGAAGTTAATTTGAAAGGGTAGGGGAAAAGTATGAGGTAGGATAATGTCAGAAATCAGACTATTTTTGTATGGCTAACATGTGCTTGAAACTCTTTGAACTAGTTTGCACCATTTCACAATTAGATCTCACATTTGGGGCTTCTCTTTAATAAAAGTTGTGACTGGGCTTGTTTTCTCAGCTTAAAAGCAATACATTAGGAAACTCAGATGGCTCTCTTCAGAATAAATTTATAGAGAAGGGTTATAGGCAGGGACAAGAATGAGAGAGGTTATTGTGGGGATCCACCTGTGAGTTAGGCCTGGACTCAAGTATGGAAAGTGAGGAAGCTTGTGAAGAGAATGATGGAATATGATGACAAATCATCTGTGGTGGCCCAGGAAGAGTTAAGAGTTAAAGGTTACCAAGGGTTTCAGCATGTAGAATTTGCAATGCCAGCAATACTAGAAAAGTAGAGAAAATAAAAACCTAGGAGAGAGTGGGTAAAATCACTTTTAGAACCTTTTAATTTGCCTTCGTATTGCAGGCTGTTAGAGCAGTCTGAAGGATAGGGGGCAAGTCATGGTCAGAGATAAAGATCCAGGGTGTCATTACACAAAAATAAACATGAGGAGGCGTAAAAGTATATAATGTTTTCATAGCGAAAAGTAAAATAGAGAGAAAAGAAAAAAGAAACATGAGCTTTGACAAAAGGCCACAGTTGGAGGAAGGATGGGGAAGAGAACTTGTGGAAGGAGGACAAAACACACATTTGGAAAGGAAGCAAGAGATCAAGATAGGATGACACAGGCCCTGGGGGAAGTTCTCGAAAAGTGGCAGCGGTAAAGGGGGCCAGGCAAAAAGAGATCGAGGAGAATGAAGACTGGACAAAAGTTGAACTTTGAAACTGGCAACAGTTGAACTTGGCAGTTGGATCATTAGACCTTTAAAAGAGCATAAGCAACATTATTATTTGTATACATTTTTTATCCTAGTTTTTATGTTTGAATAAATGTCAAAAGAAATATTAGAAAAGCATCTTTCTTTTGAGGTCCTTTTATCATAACATTAGCAGTAGTCTCAGTATTTAATAACACTTTTCACCTTTGGAATCGTGGAACCATTTTTTCCCAGTGATTTGATATAGTCATTTCCCAGCAAGAACTAGATGAAGTAACTTTTACCAAGCAATCACAGAAGATAGCTGATGTTTATTTTTACTTTGTATACTTCTCTGGAAGAGGATAGCTAATAAAACTTTATACAAGCTGATTATGTACAAAGCTAGATACTCCCAGTTACTGACTACTTCCTGACATGTAATTTCCAGGTAAGATATTATTTGACTGTGAATCTCTCTCCACAATTTTTTCTGTCTTAGGTCTTGGCATGGTCACACCTATTAATGACCTTCCTGGTGCAGATACATCCTCATATGTGAAAGGAGAAAAACTTACTCGTTGTAAACTTGCCAGCCTGTACAGACTTGCAGATTTATTTGGATGGGCACACCTGGCAAACACATACATCTCAGTGAGTTCTTTGGCTTTTGATTGATTTTTTTAAATTCAGTTAAAAGGCAACCATGTTCTCTCTTTTATTTGGAAGTCCGGTTTCAGATTTTATTCCTTGAGTACAGTATGGTAGATCACAGTCTAATGCTGATTTAAATGTTATCTCCAAGAGAAGCGGCTACCATTATGACAACTTTCTTCTCTCCCTGTCTGTGTTCCTTTGATACAGAGCAGCTGTAGAACCTATCCAAGAAAAAAAGTACTGTGGCAGAATTATCCCTGTTCCTGTAAATTATATCCAGCCTCAGTGGCACTAAAACACATTGGGGGCAAGAAGAGTTAAAGGGGCAACAAAAATTAAAGGGTCAGGAAAGTTCCCTCCCTGGTTTTTATATTTAAGTGTATTTTTCCTGTTGACGATCATCTTAGGATTTTTGTTGTTGTTGTTGTTTTCCCTTTACACTTAGAAGCAAGATACTCTTTGGAATGAAAAAAATACTAAAATGATAGGTGAGGAGAATGACATAGACACATGGTGCTGTCCACCAAAAATCTTTCTTTAATCTCCCTGCACATTCCTTAGTTCCCCCAAATTCCATTTCTACTTTATTCCTTTCTAGGAAGAGATTTTGTTCTCTTTCCTGCCCATTTTCTCTTAATTTTCTTTTCTCTTAATTTTCTTTTCTCTTCTCTCCTCTTCTCTCTTCTCTCTTCTCTGTTCTCTTCTCTCTCTTCTCTGTTCTCTGTTCTCTCTTCTCTGTTCTCTGTTCTTCTTCTCTCTCTTCTCTTCTCTCTCTCCTCTCTCTTCTCTCTCTCCTCTCTCTTCTCTCTCTTCTCTCTCTTCTCTCTCTTCTCTCTCTTCTCTCTCTTCTCTCTCTTCTCTCTCTTCTCTTTTTTTATGAGACCTGGTCTCACTCTGTAGTTCAGATTGGACCTGAACTCACCATGTGGCCCAGGCTGGCCTAAACTCAGTAATCCTCCTGCCTCAGCCTCCTGAGTGCTGGGATTATAGGCATGTGCTACCACACCCAGCTGCCTTAATTTTCATGTTGCAAATAAAAGTTGTAATCATTTCTACACTGGGTTGAATAATATTGGCATTTATTTTTCTTGAATATATCTGACCCAAAGCAATGCTAGAACCCCAAAATAACTTAGGAGAAGCCTAGTAAATCAGAAACTAGTAAAAAAAAAAAAAAAAAAAAAAAATTTAAAGCTATACTTAGCTTTAAAAAAACGGGAAGAGAGTATTGAAGTTTTTAGCAAGTATTTTGGACTTAGAATTTTTGCTTCATTGTTTTATCCACTAGATCACTGAAAAGGGTTGCTAGTCACTTTTACACTGAAAAATATGTATCCCTTGAAGTAAGCCTTTATTGTTTCTTCTTTCTTCCAGGTAAGAATAAGTAAGGAGCAAGACCACATTATAATAATTCCCAGAGGCCTATCTTTTTCTGAAGCCACAGCTTCCAATTTGGTATAATTTTCATTCCTGTGTTACTTTTCCTGATCTGCCTTGTTCTTTCCTAACAGTTATTAGTTCATAGCACTGAACGGAACAAGAAGAAGGTATGGATTGAGAACACTAGTGAACAATGAAGGGTCTGGAAAATTATGTTGATTTTTAAGAAAAGCTTTAGCATTCAAGTAAAACAGCAATTTTAAAGGGAATAATGAGTTGGAATTAACATCAGTTAACCTTTTTATGTTTTGAAGAGAATCTTTTTATTTTTTTCCATCTCTTATTCTCTAGAATCCTTTTTTAATGAAGCATACCCAGTCTGTGTATTTTGTAGCTAAATTTAAACAGTTTAGCTGGTGTGAGTATAGAATCTGAACTAGCATTTTCTCTTTTCCATGACTGTGTTCCTACCCACTGACATCAGCTCATAGAATAGCAGGAGCTACACTGCGTGTGACAGTAAATGAAAATTTTCCAATTGGTTCAGAAAATGCTAAATTTTTCTAAATCCCCAGTGAAGAGCTAAAGTTAACTCAGTATCTTGGAAACTCTCCTTCTTGCTAAATACTAAGTTTTTGTTGCAGACTATGTGCTTTCTAAAGTTGTATGGGAACAAAGCTAAACCAATGTTTTTCCTGGTACTGGGGATTGAACCAGGGCCTTTGCACTGCGCTGCAGTACCCAGCCCTTTTTATTTTGAGATAAGATCTTGCTAAGTTGCCTCAGCTGAGCTTGAACTCGTGATCTTCCTGCCTCAATCTCCCAAAGTGCTGGGACTATAGACATGGGCCACCACAGCAGACCCCATTCTTCTACAAATTGTTTTTGGCTGCTTTTGTACTGCCATGACAATACAAAAATTCTTGCAACAGAAGCCCAGAACGTAAAAAATATTTACTATATGACCTTTTGCACATCAGCTTACCATTCCCTGGCTAGCTTGTAGAACATAGACAAACTTCGATACATTTACACCAACTGAATATGTCTTTCTGATTTTTCCAGGTGAAAGTCAATATAATAGGAGAAGTGGTTGACCAGGGAAGTACTAATTTGAAAATTGACCATACAGGATTCAGTCCCCATGCTGCAATCTATTCAACACGTCCTGATGTTAAGTGTGTGATACACATCCACACCCTTGCCACAGCAGCTGTAAGTCAGTGAGAAGCCAAAACCAATGATGACTGAAAAATGTGCTTGATTTTCCCAACATGCTGCTTTACTGTCTGCATTCCTTCAGACCCTGCCAGTCAAAACTGTATTTGCAATACTAATCCTCTACATAACCACAGACCAAAAAGCTCAGGCCATATTCTACCATTGGAGGAAACAACTGGATAGATAGCATTTGGATTTAAAACTAATCAGTTTATGATTGGGTCGTTGATTTTTTAAAACAAACTTCAGTAATACTTGATATAGCATGTAAATTAAGTTGTATTCCCTAAGCCCTCCTTTTTTTTCTGGAAGAAGTGAAGAACTAAAATGGGAGTTGGGCTGCAGTAGCTCCACCTGAGCTGCCTAAAGAATCAGTTCCTATGAAAACGTATGTGGTAACCTAATGTGTTTTGTTGGTATGGACCCAATCAAATAGGTATCCTCCATGAAATATGGGATCCTTCCAATTTCTCAAGAGTCCCTTATCCTGGGAGACGTCGCCTACTATGACTACCAAGGGTCACTTGATGAACAGGAGGAGAGAATCCAACTGCAGAAAATTCTGGGGCCAAGTTGTAAGGTGTGTAGTGAGAGTCTCTATCTAAGGAGCTATTTTTGTTGCTGTGCTGTTGATGAAAACAGTGTGAGCTATGCCAGTTATTTAAAGTGATTGCTCTGGGGATTCTATTTTAGGTGCTGGTACTCAGGAATCATGGAGTGATAGCACTTGGAGAAACAGTTGAAGAGGCTTTTCATTATATTTTTAATGTGCAGATAGCCTGTGAGATTCAGGTAGGAAAAATTACTCCTTTGATTGCTTTGTTATTTGCCCATTAAGTTGGATTTTGTGTTTGTGTATTTCCAAAACCTTTTGGTAAGTGGCTTTTTGATTTGACTTTTAAGAGAATTTATACTGACGTAAAAAGACGGCAACACAATTGTTTCTTGAACTGAAAATAGGAAAGGACATTAAAATTCATACACACGTAATTCTAAGTACCTTAGTAAACATTTTTTCCACAACCCTTTCTCTGTTTGCACCCTCTAGTGCATTATAATTGAAAAACAAAAGCAGCCACAAATTTAAGAATCAAATGTATTGTGGCTACTTGTGCAAAGGACAAAGACTAGGGCCATAAGTTTTATGAATTCATGAAGTTTGTAACAGTTCCACAGCCTCTTTAAATAGACCTGATATTTACTAACCGCTTTTTTCCTCAGAGAAGCTGAATGTATATAAAGGCTCTAATTTCCCCCTTAAAGAAAAGCAACCAGATTCTCTTGAAGCAAATGATAATAGTCTTAATCAGTTGGAAGAGCCACAAGAAAGTTCGAGGGGAAAAAACTTTTCTACTAAGTGTACCTTTTAATAGCCAACTTCTTTTTTGCTCTAATGGTTCCTTTTCTCAAATGGGGCTACAAAAGGTGTAAGACAATGAGCTGACGACTTCTTTCTATACATCCTTAAATTCAAAGTACAGTGTCCCTGTATTCCTTTTAAAATTATTAAACATTTCACCAAAAAATATTAACTGGATAGTCATGGGAAAATGTAAAGAAAAGAACTTTTAAATTAGGTAAGAGAACTTAGTTGCTAGAAATATGTTTAAAAGATGTGGTTCTAAGTGTGTTTTCCAGCAGGAGGACCAGAGACCTGGAAGATGTCTATCTTAGCTAAATGGAAAAGATATTATCAGCTTCCTACTTGCCCAAGAGTGTTGCTTTGTCCTTGTTAGTAGCCTGAATGAGCATCGTGGATATTTGCCAAATTAAAATTGTGTGTGTTTGAAAATAAAATAATCATTAGCAGTCTTTCCAGTTTTGTATGTCGGTATGTTTTCCTATTGATTGCAGGTGCAGGCATTAGCAGGCTCAGGTGGAGTAGACAATCTACTTGTCCTGGATCTTCAGAAGTATAAAGCTTTCACTCACACTGTAGCAGCAGTGGGAGGAGGAGGTGTAAACATGGGTTCCCAGCAGAAATGGAAGGTTGGAGAAGTTGAATTTGAGGGGCTGATGAGGACTCTGGATAATTTGGTAGGTGAAAAATTGAACATATATGTGGGTCTCATGGCTTCAGATTAAAGAGCAGATATTTACAGCTTCCTTTGGTTTTAAAATACATTTCTTAGCTTTCCAGGATGAGAATTTGACCCTAAGTAGGCATTTTGGTATAATTTAACCAGGTTTTTAAGAATCAAACATGAGATATGCAAGTATCTTCTTTTCCTCAAGAATACAGTACATTGTCATTAATTATAGCCACTGTATTGTACAGCATATCTCTTGAACTGAACCATCCTATCTGACTGAAATTTTGTATCCTTTGGCTAACTTTTCCCCTCCCCAGTCCCTAATAACCCCTGTTCCACTCTGCTTTCGGGGTTCAACTCTTTTAGATTCCACATATAAGTGAGATCGTGCAGTATTTTGTCTTTCAGTGCCTGGCTTATTTCACTTACTGTAATGGCCTCTAGGTTCATCTATGTTGTCTCACATGACAGAATTTCCTTCTTTTTAAGGCTGTGTAACAAACATAACACTATATATTTGTGCCACATTTTCTTTGTTCATTTTGTCAACTTTGTTAGACACTTATTAGGTTGATTCTTTATCTTAGCTATTATGACTAATGCTGCAGTGCACATGGAACTGAAGTATCTCCTCAACACACTGATTTCTATGCCTTTGGATTGCTGGGTCGTGTGCTCCACCAGTAGGGCACAAGGGTTTCCTTTCCCCTCATCCTCCCCAACACTTACATCTTGTCTCCTTGATAATAGACATTGTAAAAGATATGCTTTAAATTTGCATTTCCCTGATAGTGATATTAAATACTTTTTCGTATACCCATTGGGCATTTGAGTGTCATCTTTTGAGAATTGTTTACTCGGATCTCTTGCCCATTTTTGGTATTAAAAAATACTTCCTTTCTTGTTATTTAGTTGTTTTAGTTCCTTATCTATTTTGGATATTAATGCCTTAGCAGGTTACAGTTTGGTTACTTTTTTTTCTAGTAGCAACTGAACTCAGAGCCTTCACACATTGAGGTGCATCACCAGCTCTTTTAATTTTTTTTCTTTTTTTTTGAGGTCACATCTCACTAAGTTGCCCAGGCAGGACTCAAATTTGTGATCCTCCAGCCTATACCTCCCAAGATCTGGGATTACTGGCATGTACTATTGTGCTCAGCTTTTGCGTTTTTTCTTCTTCTTTGCAGAGCTAGGGCCTCATGCCTTCTAGGCAGGCACTCTGCCACTGAGCTGCATCATCACCTTGGCAAATACCACCTTGTCTTAGATTTTGCCCTCTTCCAAGAAGGGTCAAAAGGCAAGTTGCCTTCAGAACCAGGGAAAGAGACTTAAATGAACACTGAGATTTGGTTTCCCAAAAAATATTTTATAGGTAGGGAAATTTTTCTGGTCAGCAGTTTAGAAATTACCTTTGTCAGGAGCAGTTACATGAGTGGAAGTTGGAGTGCCAGCTCCAGTCACTTTTAACCAGATCTTGAAATCTGCTTAATTTCAACTCTAGTGTTACGTAGAGATTATAGTAGGGTTTTAAAAGATGTTTTCCTCTTTGATTTTCAGCAGAGTCTTTTTGAATCATTTGTTTGAAGAAATAAGCTCCAAATGTTGTGTTGGTACAGACTGCTTCAGATGTGGTTTTCCCTTCCCCAGGGCTATAGAACAGGCTATGCTTATAGGCACCCTCTCATTCGAGAGAAGCCTCGACACAAGAGTGATGTGGAAATCCCAGCAACTGTGACTGCTTTTTCCTTTGAAGATGATACAGTGCCCCTCTCTCCTCTCAAGTACATGGCACAGAGGCAGCAGCGTGAGAAAACTCGATGGCTGAACTCACCCAATACATACATGAAAGTGAATGTGCCTGAGGAGTCCCGCAATGGGGAGACGAGCCCCAGGACCAAAATCACGGTATGCTTCTCTTTTAACAGTTTGCCTTTACTGTGTTGCCTGCTTACTCATGAATTGATCTATGTATGAGTTATTGAGAAGTAGAATAGAATATTAAAAGTAATGTTATTATCACATATCAAGTATTAGTTTTAAAGCACTGTTCCAAGTGCCACACATCCATAATCTCATTTAATTCTCCTGATATGAAACAGATACTATTTTTCTCCTTGCTTGATAGATAAAAATATCTGGGCAACTGGAACTAATAATTTTTAATGGTAAAGCAGAGTTTGAATGGTGACCATCTGCCTCAAGTCTGGTTCTGGCCTACTGTGTAATTCTGTGTAGTTTGTATTGCACTTGCAAACTAGAACTTTGAAAGTTATCAATACGAAAATGTGCCAAAGTTACGTGAATTACTCTTTGTAAATTACCATTATGCAAGATCGGATCTTTTATTCATTTATTTATTTATTTATTTGTCTTTTTGAGTAGGGTCTCGCTATGCAGTTCAGGCTGGCCTTGAGCTCACTTTGTAGCCCAGGCTGGTCTCGAACTCACAGTGATCCTCCTGCCTCAGCCTCCCGAGTACTGGGATTACAGGCGTGCGCCAACACGCCCAGCCTGTTTTTTCTTTTTTAGAATTTTGCTTCAGATTTGACCTGATTTTGGAGTACTTACCATGAAATACATGTTCTTTAGCTATTCAAAATTAGTTTGTCCCATCACATAAACCAATTACACTCAATATGGGAATACTTAGGCATCAAAGTGTTTTTTTCCTAGTCTATAAGATTTGTCTCCACTAAAAGAACATACATAATTAGACTCATAATTTTCTAAGAATTCATTTTATTGACAGACCAATGGTCAGTCATCATTAATATTAACCTTTTCTTAAGGGTCATAGTGTAGAGTAAATAAGAATTATATAAGGTCCTTCCTGTGGTCCTATTAAGCTGCATCCTGCCAGAGTACATCCCCATTACAAAATGATGATTAAGGTCTTAGCCTTTTTATTTGCCAAAAATAGAAAGCGAAGCCTAGAAAACTATATCTGAAGAGTCCTTCCCTGTGACTTCATGCCTTCATCATCTGATGAAGGAGTGCAGGTGACAGAACTCTGACTGTGAATTAATACAAGGTCGTGCTCTGTGTCTGTGCTTCAGCTGTTTAAGTACTATCATATTTTCAGTTGTCAAGAGGAGAATATTTAGTTAGTGTAATCATGTGAATGAAAACAGCATTTGTTAATTTTTTAAAAAGGGAAGTGAATGCTTTCTGTGTGAACCTTTTTCTAACTAATATGAGGAGTAAATTAATTGAACTGGTGTTCAGGTGTAAATTAATTAACCATTTAGATACTGTTTAGTGTCTTTAAAAGATGGATTATATACGGCTTCTCTGTTAAAACTACGAACAGTTATTGAGCACTTACTAATACTTCCTTAACATAAAGCTTCATTCTAAACTTTTTTTTCTTTAGTGGATGAAAGCAGAGGATTCTTCTAAAGTTAGTAGTGGAACGCCTATCAAAATTGAAGATCCCAACCAGTTTGTTCCTTTAAACACAAACCCAAATGAGGTTCTAGAAAAAAGAAACAAGGTAAGACATTGTCCTCTGTGGCCAGAGGAGACATTTTTATCCTCCTCTATGTTTAAATCATGAATGATTAAATCCGATTAATACCAAATTTAGGAGTGTGAATACAGAAGAACTTAACTCAATAATTTCCACTTGTATTGAGTATCTTCAGTCCTGTGCTAGCCATTAATGAGCATGTTACATCAGGAAGAAATATTAAAAACATATTTCTGCCTTAAGAAAGCTTGGTATTACAAGCAAATGTAGGGCCAGGGATGTAGCTCAGCGGCATAAGCGCTTGCCTGGCAAGCCTGAGGTCATGAGTTTGATTCCCAGTACCCCCCCCAAAAAAGAAGGAAATGTAGTTAACAGTGTAAGATGAAAGGAAATCATGTGCCAAGAGGGTCAGAGATGAATGTGAGTTTGAGGATGGTGAGGGGATCTTTAGGAAAGTGTGATAGGAAGAGACGCTTACTCAGAAGTGTCTTATAATAAACTTGTGGGAACAGACCAAGAACTTCTTTTTCAATTCAGATTCGAGAGCAGAACCGGTATGACTTGAAAACAGCAGGACCACAGTCTCAGTTGCTTGCTGGAATTGTTGTGGATAAGCCTCCATCTGTAAGTCTGAAGCAACACCATCATTGTTTTGGATCTGCGACATAATTTCTCTGCTTTTTAAATATGAATAATTTTTACTAAGATTAACATAAGTGCAAGTTAAAAAGTCAAATAGTTCACAAGACTTAAAATACTACCCTTGATTCCTAACTTCCAGGGAAGGGGACTTTCTGTTCCTTTCATTGCCTCCACAAGTTTACCTTCATATTTTTAAATAGCATCTTTATAATCACTTTTCATTGGTTGATCAGTTTTAGACCTGAGCTATATTTAATGAACTATCAAGTATCATTGCTTTGTGTATCACCAAAAGAAAGCACTGCCAGTATGTTGTAAAAGCAGCCATCAGTTATGATTCCCAGTTTCAGAGACGGGAAAACGTGAGGAAAAGTTCATCTTAAATTAAGAGCAATAGTGACCTTCTTCCGGAAGGTGGGGACTCAGCCTGTTTACGCAGTGCTTACTTTTTGCCCTGTCTCCATTCTGCAGCCAAGGTGTATGTGTATCACAAATTTGTGCATTTTTGTTTTTCTTTTGCTAAATCATCTGTCAGTGTTTATACTTGTATGTTTACTGCTGAGCCAGATAGTGTCCCATGATTATGTTTCCTTTTTTATATAATTTTCCCCACCCTTGAGTTAATAAATGCCTCCTTTTTTCATTGGCTCAGTATTTTAAGTACATTGCCTTAATTCTTCCCAGATTTTTCAATAGAATCATAAAGTCCCTCTTAATATTATTTTCAAAAGGTCACAGGTAATCTTTCTGTTCTAGCCCCCAGTTGTTGTAACCCAAATCTTGGTGACTCATAAGGTGAGCTGCGTAGGCCCATCTTGAGGGTTCCTGTGCCTCTCGTCTACGTTATAACCCTGTTCCTGTATGTGAATCTTCTTTTTTGATTTTCTCTTTTATCAGAGAACACAACTTTCGAGAAAGGAAATATATATATGAGTAACAGTCTGAAATGCCTTTATTCTACCTTCAAATGTGCGTATAGTGGGTATAGAATTCTAGTTTGGAAACAGTTATGTCCCCAGACATGAAAAGCATCACTCTGTTGTCACTCCTAAATCTTATTTTTGAGATATAGGAGGGCATTGTGATTGCTGCACCTTTGTATAAACCACCCGCAACCCTGTTAAAGACCTTATTACATTCTTGCTGTTCTCAAATACTACAGTTGTGTTCTTTGCAGTGTATTCCTTTCTAGCTTTTGTTCTTAGCATTTAGTAACCCCTTCTACCCTGTAAAGTCAGTTCTGGGAATTTCTTTTATTTTCAGGTATTTCTTCAATAATTTTTTTCCCTCCGATTCTTTTTTTTCTGTATCCTGATTGGATGTTAGATCTCTTTGAACCTCTAATTTTCTTTTCTCTCCTACTTTACACATCTTTGTCTTTATCCTACTTCCTGGAAGATGTTATCCTGACTTTATTTTCTAATTCTACCTAGTTTTCTATTTTGATGTTAACTTTTTTTAATTTTTAAACATTCTCACTCTCTGACTGTTCCACTTTAAATAATATCCTGATCTGCTATAATATTTTTTCTTATTGCTTCAAGGCAGTCATTTTCTTTAGCTGCTGTTACCGTCTTTGTCTCTTCTGCATTCCCTTTGGCTTGTTGACGCTGATCTCCCTCGCCCATGTTAGAAACGTCCCTCCTGTGTCTGGTAATCTGTACAGTGTACTTACTTTGAAAGATGAGATACTAAAAGCACTCAGAAGCCCTGGGTGTGTAAAGAGTTCAAGGCTTGATGAGCCTCCCTGGAGGATGATAGGATGTAGACTGGATTGTTTCTCTGGGGAGTTTCCAAGTGTCACTGTCTGTAGTTCTTTTCTCTGGGACCATTTAATTTACCCCAGGGAGAATTCTTCAGTCTTCACACCATCATCGTGGGAGCCCTCAGCTATGTTCTGTGTCCCCTAGACAGATTTTTATGAATAATCAGCCTCTGTCTTCTGCAGAAATGAGCGAGAGGTAAATGCTTAACAGTGTGGAGTAGGAAAGGAGACCTGGGGACCTGTCTTCTGACCTTTACATTATCCCATTTTCAGCTTTTCCTCACCAGCATCTTCTGCAGTACCTGATACCTGTACTTCCTGAGGCTTCCCACACCTCTGCAGAGCCAGTGAGCCAGCGTCTCATTAGCAGTCCTTCTCTGCAGGACCAAGGCTTTGACTCTGTCAGCTTTGTGACCGACTGGCCTTGCTTTCTGTCTTCCAGAACTGTGCTAACGTTTTTGATCCTGTCTTTCTCATCCCCCATTTGTTTGTCCTTAAAGGTGTACACTTTTTTTTCTACTGTTTCTCACTGAGTCGTTAAATGGGGCTTGGAGATGGGTCAAAAATGCTTGAAGTTAATCTATAAGGTATAACTGAAAATTTCAGTAATTTCTTTCCTAGAGAAAATAACCACAATTATTTTCCTAACAAATTGAAAGTCTTTTGATAGTTTTATTTTTAAGGTTTTTTGGTTTTTCAAAATATTTAATTATCTAAATCTATCAGAGTTTGTCTTAATTTTATTTAAGAATGATTATTAAGAGCTGGGATGTAAATCAGTGGTAGAATGCTCACCTAGCATGCCCAGAACTCCGGCTTAAATCCCCAGTACTGGAAAAAAAAAAAAAAAAAAAAGATAATTAAAATTTACCTGTGCATGCTTATTGAGGAAACGTCGGCAATTTTAGTCCATTTAGGTTAGTAGTCCAAGAGCATTAATCTAATAAGAGTATTTTAAGCAAAACATGTTGCTTAGTCATTTTATGATTCTGGTAGAGTGGGGAGTCACAAACATATATACACACACGTGTGTGTATGTGTGTGTGTAAATGGGTATAAGTAGACCTCTTAATTGTGGGTATGGGTTTTTTCCTTGTAAGACGATGCAGTTTGAAGATGATGATCTTGGCCCACCGGCTCCTCCTAACCCATTTAGTCATCTCACAGAAGGAGAACTGGAAGACTATAAGAAGACAATCGAACGGAAACAACAAGGCCTAGAAGGTTAGTTAACTTTTGAAATAAGCCTAAGGTAACACACTAATACCACTAGAGCACCTCCAACTGAGTGACTAAAAGTCAGTCAAAGTTACAAGCTGGCCATGGGGGCGCACACCTGTAATCCCAGCACTCAAGGGGCTGAGGCAGGAGGATTGTCATGAGTCGGAGGTCAGCCTAGGCTGTGTCGTAAACACAAGCCCAGGGTGAACTACGTAGTGAGACATTGTCTCAAACCAAGAATAATAATAATAATAATAATACCTTTTCTATACACTTGTTCCATTTCTCATCTCAGTTCTTTGCTAAGTGTAGGTGAGGCTGACATGCCAGGAACTACTGTATATCTTAACATGTAGAGAAAAGCTGTTCTTCCTCAGCAATCTGAATACTAGCTATTTCATAGTAAAATCTATAATGTGAAATGCACAAATGAGTAAATATTGCTATAGACTTAAGCATCTCCTAGTATGTGGCTTTTAAAAAAAAATTTATTTTGGAATAATCATAGACTCACAAGAATGTGGATCTAATGCTTTGTAAAATCTGTTCCCGAGTGTCTCAAGGTACCAGTATGGTCATTTCAAAATCAAAATTTAAACTGTCAGAAGTTTATGTGACTTTCCTTTAGCACATGCACACCTTAACACAATTGAGTTTGTCTAATTTAGGAACTCTTAGTAAGTAGTTTGTTAGATTATAATTGGGAATTGTTAATGAAAACACCCTAGCTAGTTGAGGACTAGCTCCCTCTTTCTCTGTAACGGTGGTGGCAAAGCTATGGCACATGTGCCACGGGTGGCTGTTTGTTATCACTGAAAACTCGAAAAGGTTTGCCGTCACTGCTGTACAATAAGAGAGGTTTTTTTAGCAGCTGTTCTCAGTCTTGGGTTTTTGGATAAGCTTCAGACAGTCCATGAGCCACCTACAAATACAGCTTTCTTATGTACAAATATCTGAGGTATAGGGCTTCACAGTGTGGCATAAGAAATACATGATTCTAAAAAGAAGAGAAGAGCTTCCACTTTAGCCCATCTACAACACTCAGTTAATTTTTTTGTATCAAGAGCTAAAGAAGCCAATAGTTACAGAATGTTTGCTCACAGTGTATGTAGGAAGAACTAATGCCATCAGGATTGTTCAAGGAATAATTTTGTCAGTTATTTGTGCCTTTGTCATAAAAGCAAGTCATTCTAACTCATTAATGTACCCATACTAAATATTCTAAGTGTATATTGAACTTCTTTAAGGTTGAAAGCTTTCTGTTTTTTGCATTTTGTGAAATGTCCCTCTTTGATCTCTTTTTTGAAAGCCTGAAGATGCCAGGTAACAACTGTTGTACTCTACAACCATCATTCTTTTATATATAACTTTGTAAATAATTTCTTCCACATTCATTATGACCTCTTAAATTAGCTCACTAATATTGCTGTGACAGGAATCACTAATTAGATATTGTTCCAAAATTCAGAGAAGCATTTTGCCTCATTAATGTAACAGCATTGGTGAGGCTTCATAATTCTTTTCATCTGGCTGTTGAGTATATTTTGGTTTCCTAACCAGCAAAAGCTAAATGCACACATGCTGTTTTCCTGGGCTGTCAGTAGCCATGCTTCCTTTGTAACCTTGTGTGTAAAATAACTCTCAGAAACCAGAAGTTTTAGCATATTAATCTCAGTGTATAAGTATTAATATATGGGATAATTGTTAGCATGCTGCGCTCCTAGTTGAAGAACTTTCTTTGTATATGCAGGCATTTGATGTATGCACTAACCTCCTTGAAATCTTATGCTTCTTTGTTTTGTTTTGCATGGCTTTTAATAAAACTCTTATCCAACAGATGCTGAGCAGGAATTACTCTCAGATGACGCTTCATCTGTTTCACAAATTCAGTCTCAAACTCAGTCACCGCAAAATGTCCCTGAAAAATTAGAAGGTATTCAATGTAATTTCCCATAGCATTCACTGAGTAGTCTCAGAAGTCTGCCCCCTATCACCTGTTTTCATGTAAGAAATTGAACAGCTGGTCACAGTAAGTTTGGTATGGATTTTACTTGAATCTTCCAATAATTTTCTATTTCTTATCAAGTGGGGTGCTACATTTATCAACATTTCTACTGATTTACTTTACTCTAAATTTTTGGCAGTCCTTAGTTTCTAAGAATTTGTGGAATTAACATTGACTTGTTGGCCAGTAAGCACCTGCCTGGCAAGTGTGAGGTCCTGAGTTCAATCCCTGGGACCAGAAAAAAGAAAAGGAAAAAATTGACTTGTCGTGCATCTTCAAATCAGCAGCATGAAATCTTTTCCAGTTCTGATTGCCAAATGACCCCAAAATCAAAGTGTATGTGTCTTCCTCATTTGTACTGATTGGATTTGCAGTGAGACTGTCATGTCATCAGAGCAGAATAGTCTAGCTTTTACTCTTTCATTTAACAACTTTGTTCTCATCCCCTTTATATCATTTAAGAAAATTAGCTTCATGCTAATAATTTATGAGAATAATGATCTGTCTTCCTCAGAATTAAAGTAATGCCTTAGTACATTGCTAAAACCTTTGAGTTTTACAAGCTAAAACAGAAATGTTAACTATGTAAAATAACCAGAAAAACATCCCTCCCTTTTTGTAGAAAACCATGAGATATTTTCCAAGAGCTTCATCTCCATGGACGTGCCCGTCATGGTAGTAAATGGCAAGGATGATATGCATGATGTTGAAGATGAGCTTGCTAATCGAATGAGTAGATTGACTACAAGTACGACCATAGAAAACATCGAGATTACCATTAAGTCTCCAGAAAAAATTGAAGAAGTCCTGTCACCTGATGGCTCACCTTCAAAATCACCATCCAAGAAAAAGAAGAAATTCCGCACTCCTTCTTTTCTGAAAAAGAACAAGAAAAAGGAGAAAGTTGAAGCCTAACGTATTTTTATAATTACTACAATGTGACATTGCACATTTAAATACCACACTTAAATTGATCATTAATATACAGTGGTAGATCAGATTGGGGGTATGTAGCAAACTGGACTTTAAGAACTGGAAGAGGTTTTACTAAAAGAAAAATACGGGAAAAAAACCTTTGAAATTCATCTCTTTTTATATGTCCAAAAATGGGTTTAAATTTTTAAACAGTTGTTTTAATTAGCTCTGCTGTCATGAAGTATTATTATAGTTCACCACAAACGTATCTGTCTGAATTACTTCAGGACTTCGTAATATCTGTTCAAAAGAAACTGCTAAGGAATAAGTGAGAATATTTTATTTCTCCACACCTGCTTCAGTTAATAATCAGATTATGATGTTTTATTATGATTATTGACTATCTTTTTGGGTCCCCATTTTTTCAATGGGCATTAATGGAATGCTTTAAAAGCTTCTAAGATAAAAAATCTATAGCGTTAGTATACACTGGCACATAATTTTTTAAAAAGTTTTAAGAAAAGATTTGTTTGGAGTTTTACTCATAGTATAAAATTTCCTCACCTGAAGTAACTTCATTTGCCAAAAAAATGACCATTTTAATAAACTATAATTTTTGAAAACTTTTTTTATTAGTTTAGAAAGCCCCTTACTTTTCAACAAAGGGGATTTTGTACACATAACATGGGTTATTTAGTTTAACTCTGGCAAAAACAATTTTTGTATGTTGAGATGTTTGTATACCATTCAGTATAAAAGTCATATGCATATTAGCCAATCATTTAATGGTAGAGCACATTTGAGACTGCTTGGTACTAAGTAGACTTAAATATAAGTCAGGAATCCAGGGACTTGGTATCAGAAGGGGTGAGAGCATATTAAAGGTATATCTAGATTCATATTTGGATCTTACAATGTATTTGTCTCTTAGTTTCTAATGAATGGAGAAAATCTCATTTGAGAATCAGTTCTCAAATGAGAAGTAAAAGAGTGAAAGAGAAAGTGGAAAACTAAGGGAACAAAAGATGAGATGTGAAAAGAAGTTTTGTTGAATAAGAACTCCTAGTCATGATAGACTGTGTAGCGTGATTTATTGAAAACAGGTCCCAACTTTCTAAAATCCTTCTTCTCTGCCCAAATCAGTACCTTGGTGGATATTTGAGTTCTAAAAGTTGTTTATCTTTAGAGTACAGCACTAGAAGAAATCAGTAGGTCTAATCCCTAAGAAAACTACCACTTCTTGATTTTTACAATTTTTTTTAATCTTTTCAGTTAACTTTCTAATGTAAATACAAATTTAACCTAGACCTAACATAGTTTTCCCCTTTTTCCTAAGTGATGTCACAAATCAGTGTAAACTCAAAGATCCCAGATGGTCAACAGGTAAAAATAATCCCAAGTATCCTGAAGGGTGAGGCGCAGGCAAGAAGTTCCGCTGAGCACGGGATGTTCGGGCTGGTTCTGTCCGTCTGTGCGCGCTGCAGCGCTGAAACGCAGCCTGGAAACGGCGCTCTCGGTCTCACTGACTACTGGAATCAGTGTTCTAATCTCTCAGTGGAAACTTTCCATTGCTGACCTGTGTATTTGAGGATTATTTTATGTTTTACATCGTTTATGTTGTATTACAACGTATGTAGAAACAGTAACCTGTGAACTATGCCTTTCCATAACTTTTTAAAAATATCTATATCTAAATGAATGCAATGTGCATAAATATTTTTTAAAGCAACCGTAAACTATTGCACCTTTTGCTAATGCCTATATTTACTTGCTTTGACATAATGAATGAGCCAATGAACTTCTGTGTCCTGTGGAAAAATGTATAAATGTTATCTGATATTGCTCTTAGGTGTTATGCTAATTAATGTTAAATCACAAATAAACAGTATTTTAAGTATATGGATTTGGTTTTATGAGGGCTCCACTTTGGAGTGGTTACTCAGCCTATACTTGGTGGTCCGTTGGATTTTATAGTTCCATGAAATAGTGCTGCGACTAAGGAACATTCTGACAATTGTATTTTCAAAATTAGCTAGAAATATGTACATAAACATGTATGTGTATATGTTTGTGTTTGTATGTATAAACATACATGTAAGCCCTTTTAAAATATTTTTATTTTGAGACTTGCTGAGTCACTAAATTGACCAAGCTAGATTCAGCCTTGTAGTCCTCCTGCCTCAGCCTCCCAGAGTGCTGGTGTTACAGACGTGTGCCACTGCACCCTTTTATGAAACGTTTCATTTTATATTGGAGGGAATATTCTCTAAGACATTATGTCTTGATAGGTTATAGTGGCCTTAGGCTTCTTATAAACTCAGTTCAACTGTTCACATCTATCAAAGTAGAATAGAAAATGTGAGAGATGCACTGAGTTTACACATTACCCTCTTTTTGATTTTTAATCAATTAATTATACAAATAATGTAAGGAAAATAGAAAATAGTTCACAATTCCACCACATTAACATTCAAACGTTTTGTTCCCGGAAAAGCGCTTGTCCAATTATACATGTATTTTCTGTACATTCATAATCATGGTATAAATGTAATTTCTATTTTGGATTTTTTTTCTACGTAAAGTAACCACTTAAAGATTTTTAAACCAAAACTGCACATGGATAATTTCTTGTGACTTTTTTCCCCACTTTGTCCTAAAAATGGAGTATAAGAAGGGGAAATCACGTTAACTGAGTGTCTTGGTTAATCAAAGTTTTTACTATACCTGTTACAAGAATGATGGGCCTGAGCATGGAAGAATAGCTTCACAGTCTTGGGCGCACGTAATCATTACCTTGGCTTGTAAATAACCGTGTAGTAAAAATCGCAGTTTTAGAAATCTGTTCATTTCAAAATTCCCTTCCACAAAGCAACAAAAACCGTTATCCTCAGTTCTCCTCTTAAAGTTGGCTGAAAAGTAGTTGCCTGTGCAGCAAGACATAGAGAAGGGAGTGGATTCTTGGTTTCTCTTAACAGTAGCTGCTTTTTAACATTAGCAGAAAACAAAAAGCCAAACTTTTTTTAAACTCGGAGGTTATGTGTACACACTCAAACTGCAGCCTTGGCTAGACTGGAATTTTGAAAAGAACAATCTTGGTGGCCACTAGAGGGTGGAATAGATCTAGCAATCCATTGTTTCCAGTCTTTCAGTTGGCTTTCCTTTTCTTACTCCATTTGCATCATGTGTGTCGTGAAGTAGCTGGAACTTGGGAGACACCTCTGCTGTTGCTTATTCTCACCAGACTCTTCTCGACTCTGCTGTCGTCGCCAAGCCCGTTTCACCCGTACACATGTCACCTACAGCAACCATAATGCCTATGGAGAATACACTGACAATTTCCAAGGTGCGGTCTCAGAAACTGGTAGGCATAAGGCCTCTGAGGGTAACTTCCTGTAAGTGGCACTACAATGCCTCCTTCGATAATCGGCATGTTTTTGACTGAGGAGCGAGTTGGCAGCCTATCTGATAACCCTCTATACAGCAAAGATCACACTGGGTGCTTTTCACATGTTGACTCGTTTGGCCAACCCCATGACACAGGAGATAGCTCCCCTGTTGCATACATAATGAAACTAAGGCCTGTAAGAGGCAAAAGGAAAAGAGCTGTTTTACCTGTAGATGCACACTCGCAAAGTTATTAGTGCCATCTGTGTGCTAGTCTCTGTGATTCCGGTGAAGGTTTTTGAGGGTTTTTTAGGAGAGGACTTTCACCCATGGTGAACTCATGTTTTATAACCCATGTGGATAAAAGCACATCTGGTTTGGAAGAAGCACCCCCCCCAACAAGTCACCCCAGAATGAAGAAAGTGATGCAGACATGGAAATGAGCAGGGGTAATAGAATCCTTTAGGATGAAGAACCAGTTCTCAAATGTTCTCTGTGACATCTGGGAAACAAGGTGTCTGTACCTTTGCCCAAGAGGCAGCAAAAAGCCGAGTGCAGTGACACCATAATCCAAACTACTTGGGAGGCTGAGGCAGGAGAGTTGCAAGTCTGAGACCAGCTTGAGCAATTTATCAAGACTAACTCTCAAAAATAAGGGCTGGGGTTGTAGCTCAGTGGTAGGGCATTTGTCTACCAGCTGCAAAGCCTTGCATTCATTCTCTCCTCAAAAAAAAGGCTTGAAAGGAAACCCTTTACATATTTGCTTTCCAATGTTGGAAGCAGGGGAGACATTCAAAAGCAAATGTTTTTAAAATTTGAAGCCGGGCGTGGTAGCCCATGCCTGTAATCCCAGCACTCGGGAGGCTCAGGCAGGAGGATCGTTGCAAGTTCGAGACCAGCCTGGGCTACAAAGTGAGCTCAAGGCCAGCCTGAACTGCATAGCGAGACCCTGTCTCAAAAAGACAAAAAAAATTAAAAAATAAAAAAAAATTTGAAGTGATAGCTTAGTCATAGGGGTAGTTTTAAAGATCAGAAGTGATTGTAGCTACTCACGATTTTGTTTAAGTGAATGTAAATAGATTCTCTTCCTTGGAGAAAAACCTAATGTACATGCTGGAACATGAAAACATTTTTGAGGGACTCTGGGATTTTCCAATTTAACAGTGTTCAAAGGGGTTTCGTTTCTAAGACATGACCATTAGGGGGCGATACTGGGTTCAGATTTAGTTTTGATTGAGGGACCCTCCTTCAAAATATGAGTTTGGATTTGTTCTGGTTGTCCCTTACTGGGTGCAGACTAAAGCTGAGGGAAGTCTGTAGACACCATATTACTTCATTTGTTCCTTATACAGAAACGATCTTGTTCTGACTTGTGAGGAGTCCTTTCTTCTGAGGTTGTGCCGGCCCATCGCAGATCTCAAAGGGGGCTAAACCAGCACTCAGGCAAAGGTCTTCAAAGTCTGCATCTCCTGCTTCCTTCTCTACTACAGCTCCCTTGGAAACTCACTGGATTATAACCTAGGAGTAGCTAAATACATGGTTTTTTGAAGCTTCCTGCAAACTGATATTTAGAACTTTATTGTGGGACTCTTTAAGAAAAACACTACAAGGCCAAGCCTATATGTGTATCAATACCAATTGTTTTCCTAGAATTTAAAGTTGTTAGACTCTCCATGAGCATCTTCTGGTTATTCTCTCAAGTTAGTCAAGATGCTGCTTTATTTTCTGTTGGAACCTACAGTTTTTTAAATGCTGTTTGTATCTTAATTGACACACGGGCACATTTTGATATTCTTTTATAGCAAAAGGGAAACGTGTATCTAGCAGAAAAATTAAGAGATGGATAAAAAATCCATTTCCTAATCTTTAAGGCCTATGTAACTTCTGCTTGCATAAATCTTTGACACTGAAGCTATGGTGACGGTGGCTGTGCCGGCTTTTGAATCGAGGTCTGGTTCCTACACAAACTGCCTTTGGGTTTTGTCTCTCCAAAGCCCACCTTGATCTCGCTTATGAGTAGAAAATCCTTCCTAGCTGTAGTAGCTCCGCATAACTGCTGTCACGGGACAAAATTCTAGTTCCCCACTAAATTACGCCTTAAAGTCAAAAGCATTGGCTTTCTTAGTCAAAGTTAGATGTGAACTGAAGAATACTTCTAAGAACTTAAGGTTTTTTTAAATCTGTTTTTGAAACAGCTACTAAAAATCTGTAGCACAGATCTGTAGCGTCAAATGAAAGAACTAGTAAACAAGCCTTTTCATTATCAGACTCTGCTCCTCAGCCAGTAAATACGTGATCCTGTAGAAAAACCACTTCGTTGTTTTGTTTTTTGGTTTTTCTTGAGAGACAGGGTCGCCCCCCTGTGGTTTAAGCTGGCCTTGAACTCACTAATATAGCCCAGGCTGGCCTCGAACTCGCACTGATCCTCTTGCCTCAGCCGCCCAAGTGCTGGGATTGTAAGCATACACCACCATTTCTGGCTAGTAAAACCACTTTTGAGAGTTAGCTAATTGAATTTATTAAGCCAAACACTATCCCTTCAGCTGGATATTAGACAGAAATTCTCAAGAAAAAGACTCGGATTTCCCAAAGCAGTACAACTACATCCTGACAGATGGGGATGGAAAGGAGAGAGCAGTTATAAAATACACACACTAAGAGACTTGGCATGGGGGAATACGTCTATTCGCCAGCACTCTAGAGGCTGAGGCAGGGATATCTCAAGTGCACCCACAGCCTGGGGTTACAGTTCAGCGCAGAGGCCCTGGGATCAGTCCCCACTACTGAAAAAGAAAAGTAGTAGAACCTCAATTTCCCTCAGGTACTCTTGAATTACCTGTTTTTGTTTTTAAAAAATGGTATCAACCCCAGCTTGGCCTCAGAGCTATTGTGCTGCTGCTAAGCCTTTTTCTTTTTTCCTTTTTTTTTTTTTTTTTTTTTTGAGATAGGATTTCACTATGCAGTTCAGGCTGACCTTGAACTCACTTTGTAGCCCAGGCTGGCCTCAAGCTCGCAGGGATCCTCCTGCCCCAACCTCCCGAGTGGTGATGCACACCACACCAAGTATAGGTGTGTCACCACGCCTAGCCACTAAGTCCTTTTCAATGATTTGCCAGCCAAGTGCTCTGTCCTTATTTAAGTAGGAGCATTTTCTTTGATAGGATCTGAAATTGTCTTTTTCCAAAAGCAGTGCTTGTGAAGATTCTCGGCAAATAGGAAGTAGCTGCATTCTACAGCTCCCCTTTCCTGTTGAGTCACGCTGGGGGCAGAGGGGTGGTAGTGATGAGTGCTGTGATAGACTTCGGCTCCAGAACGATGACTTCCCCAGTTTTATGAGAGAACATGTACATACAGCCAGCTCGTCGGCAGGCACAGGCAAACCCTTTCGAAGGTGTTTACTGGATAACTAGTTAAGCTTAAGTACGACTTCCTGCCTGGTTTCTATTTTGAAAAGCTTGGCTTCAGTTGTTTCGACTGGAAAAAAGAAGCAAAGGTCATTTGAGACTAAGACACTG